AAACACCGAATTAACTGACAAGAGTAGAGTAGTCTTAATAGTTAAACCAGAATTAACCAAAGTGACACCTCGCAATATCACCATTTAACAAGAATCAAAAACTATAAAAAGTTTATTATTTCAAAACATTATTATAATTTAGCTTTAAGAAACAAAATAGAGGGTGGCTATTCCAGGAAGTTTAATTGATAATAATAATCATACTACTAAAAAAAAATCTGCTAAATCTTCATTTAGTAATGATGTCCCTAGGAATATTTCAACAAATCAAAAGATTTTATTGCCAAAACCACTTCAAGAAGCACCTACAAGTATATCTTCTAATAATAATAACAGTCATGGTCATGGTAATGAATCAAAAAACCAATCATCTTCATCTTCTGTTATTATGTCTGATGATGATAATGATGACAATGGTGATGATAACAACGATCTAAGACCAATTAAACAAGATCAAGCAGCAAAATTAACAGCTGATGAAGATAAAAGAAGAAGAAATACAGCAGCTTCAGCCAGATTTCGGGTTAAGAAGAAGTTACATGAAAAGGAGCTTGAGAGAACTCCAAAAAGAGATGACTGCAAGAACAGAATTACTTGATGAAAGAGTCAAAGAACTTGAAATGGAAAATAAATGGTTAAGAAAATTAATTGTTGAAAAAGATGCTAAGCTGTTATTGGATGTTATAGATAAGAATAAGGATAAATAATTGAGTGATGATTTTATTTGGCCAATAAAACATCAATTATGCATGTAACTAAGGTAAATTATCAAAATAATTTTTAATTAAGCACATCCCATGCACCAATGCACATCAATTATGCAAGAAAAATTTTATTACTTTAATAAAAATCCAAGAAACCTTTTTAATATATATAAATATGTCCATTGGTGTAACCTCTCTTGCACCTCCAAGTTTTCACAAGAATAAAATTAAACTAAATAAATAATAGTATATTATTTACTTGCCCAATTAAATTTAAAGCATAAGCAATAAGGTATGGTTTTAAGGAATGATTTTTTCAATATATTGTGCTGAATCAGAAACAAAGGCAAAGATTTGATGACTATCAAATTCATTTAACATATTTTTATATAGGATGATGACCCTTTAATGTTTACAAGATACAACCTTATCTAATATTAATAGGACTTCGGAAGCTTCTAATTGAGGTTCCAGTGTCCTTCAGGGTAAAACATATAAAATTTGAATAATAAAGGTCCTAAATATGTATAAGCGAATATATTGAACGCAGTATGCAAGGTGTATTGCAGATTCCTGCATGCTGTGGCGTAACTAAGTGAATCCCTTCCTATATACTACATAATAATAATAAAATGTATATACGCTCATCTTTCTATGTATATATTAACGGATCTTATTCTATAACGAACTGAGGATTTAAAGATTGTTGTTACCAGATAATTAATCGACTGAAAAATATAATTCTTTGTAGCCTGATAACGGAATTTACAAAATTTATTAACATAAGTTATAAATCCAAAAGGATCTATCTACAAATCCTAAGAGAAAAACTCAACTAAAAAAACCAACTCTTTAATTCATAATTTTTTATAATAAAATAACAATGTTAATAATTATTTAAATTGAAATTGAGTTTTGGGTCAGAGATTTATTAAGTATAGACTGAGATTGAGTCGGAGATTTATATGGAATTTAAATAAGCCATTTATTTTTTAAATAACAAATATTTTGAAAATGATTTCTGTGCTTGGTGAAATTTCAATTTGATTTTTTTTTCATGAATTATTTTCTCGCTTTACAGATGAGGTATATTTGATATATTGTTTAATTTTTTAGAAATTTAAAATAGAATCAACTTTTACCTAGTAAGTGATATTGGTTATCGCATTGGTTTTTATGATATATAAAACCGCGCAATCAAATCCCGTGAATTACTAGCCGAGTTCAAAAATATATAAATGAGTTAATTTTATTCAATACACCGTTTGCGTTTTTATTATTTAAATATGAAACTAGAAAAGCGTTAAACGACAAATAATCAAAATGATTATTTTTCGTTGTCCGAGATTAAATATATTTTGACTTGTTAAATATTGGTTTTTGCAACAGTCTTTCTATTTTTTATTTATTTTAAAGTTTACAAAACATTTAAAAACGTATCTCAAGGTCAATGATGACATGATCATAGCAGAAATATTATGATAAATTGATATAACACATTAGAAAATATTCCGTCAGGAAATGTCCTGTAAAATAGTAAAGGAAAAGGTTGTCGCGCAACCCTGCTCAAAATATACGTACGGTATATGTATGCCAAAATAATTTTTTTCTCGATAAAATTTGGTTGACATACAAAAAAGTTCGGTTCGAAGCTTTATACAAGACGGTGATAATCATTTACGGTGGTAGATAGATATATCATTAAAAGAAAATTTTGTAATGAAAACAGTCCAATTAATTACATTCACTTCATACACATTTTATTAGCGAAATTAATATAAATGTTCTTGTTCACCATTAAATTTAATAATAAATTCTAATATTTTAAATACTAAAAATTGACACATGTTTTCTTTTAATTAAGAACTCACACTAGTAGTCATCATTACCACCAGCTTTATTTAATTAGTGATAATTAATCAGAAAAAATATTGTTAGGTAAAAATATATAGTAAGGTAATTATATAATTAATAATTTTGCTATTTAATTAATTATTTGAAAAACTTCTAATTCATCAAATTTACTGTTACCTACTATTATTATAATTTTATGGTTTGCTAGTAATATTACTGTTTGTTTGAAACAAAATATCATTACTACCACCATTATTACTACCAAAAACTGGTAAATAAGCAGGATCACAGTAAAATGCATATTGACATTTGTTATTAATAACATAACTAAATTTTGCAGTGTTTATATCATTTCTATTACTTATATTAAATATAAAACTTTCAGTTGTATTTTTATCCATGCTTCCATTCCAAAATTATGTTAATGACAATGAACTGGGCACTTCCTGGTGCACTGACGTTTTCTTGGAACTGGTCCAGTGTCATAATTTATATGTTTCCCGAACTGAAGATCATATCTATTATTTAAATTAATACCACTACAAGTTGTTGTTGTTATTGGAAGGATGTCAGTTGTTGTTCTTAGAAGGATGTCAGTCAGTTGTTGTTGTTGGAAGTAAAGAGTAGTGCCGTAATCAAAAAAAGGAAAAAGCATGGTTGCAAAAGTGGTCGCAAAGGTAATTGCAACCACTTTTCATATGCCGTAAATACAATTACTACCATCATCATAATTTACGGCACTAGTCTTTAGTTGGAAGGATGTCAGTTGTTGTTGTTGTTGTTGGAAGGATGTCAGTTGATGTTGTTGTTGTTGGAAGGATGCCTGTTGTTGTTGTTGGAAGGATATCATCTGTTGTTGTGGTTCTGTTGTTGTGGTAGTGATTGTTGTTGGAAGAAAAATATCTGTTGGTATATCCTACATATTTGAAATATGTGTATGAATTAAGGATACCGGCTGCAACTTTTGATGATGGTTGCAACCACCTTTACGACCATTTTGTTTCCTTTTTTGGGTTGCGACATGGAACACTAGTATGAATGTATGAAAGTAATATTTATAAATGAATATATATATTATAACACATAATGTTATAAAGATATAATAATCAATTAATATAATAAAGATAATGCTCAATATATAATATAATCTTCCAATTAATAATTTCACAAAACAGATTTCTAAAATAAAACAGAAACTAAAAGGAACTTTAAAAATACTTACGTCATCACCATAATCATTATAATCATTATTATTACCAACCTGTAATGCAATTTAAATTTTAGTCTTCATTAAGAAAAAAAAAGATAATCAAAATAAAGGTAGATTTACTTCAAGATTAACATTACTATTGTTGTTATTCTGTAACAGGAATGCAATAATACAAAGATTAATTTCTAAAATGAATATGAACCAACTAATCAATAAAAATTTTATTAAAAGCTTGCCTCTTCATCTATAAGAAAAGATAAGAAATTCTCCAACAAAGAGTTTATTGTGTTTACCATCTCTTTATTATCATTGAATTTTTTTTCAATTGTATATTGTTAATTATCTCTGTAAGAGATCCAACAGAATATGTTGTGATGATGATGGTGATGATGGTGATCTGATACAAAAGAAGTTAAGTCTTAATTAGTAAAATGACAAGTTTAAGTTCGGATGTTTGAATTTATAATTAATCAGAGTGATGACGCGTGGCAACGATCGCAATAACCACCAATCTTTATATATAAGCTAGAGTGACAACAAGTGGCAATAGCCACCACCATTCTTTTAATAAATACTTACCCAACCAACGCATGCTCACGGCTGGTTCCTTTTTTTCTTTTATTTAAAAAAGACATTAGTGGAAGGTGTACCAATCGTTGGCACAGTAGGAGTAGCAGCAGTTAGTATGTAGGAAGTACCAAGTTCAGAAGCAGTATTTAAGTTGTCACTTATTAAAAGTTATTTATATTATTTATATTTGTTGCTGAATAGTTGTGGAAATGAAATTCTTGGGGAAAGTAAAGAAACAGATGAATTATTATAATAATATATTATTATTATTGATCATTTGATCGACAAACGCGTCATTAATTATTTGTTATTGGCACTTGGTGTTGTACAAAGGTTTTTTTTTGTTTGACACGATTGATTTTTTTTTCTTGGAAAAACAGTTTATTTTTTGACAGTCTAAAGATGACAAAACGTGAGTGTTGTTGTTTGGTTTGGTTTTGGTTTGGGTCTCCTAAAGAAACGTGTTAATATATTTTTATTTTAATGTTTAATTGGAACAAGCTTAAAAAATGTATTCAATCTCAAATTCCATGTTCAACAATGGACTTATTGACTTTAATACAATTGCATTTTCTCTTCTATACAAGTATTCTAAATCAACTCAACCATATAGTATTCGAAAATTTTTTTTCATTTTTGAAGATTGTTTGTCACTAGAAATTTCATGGAGCATTTTCATTTTCATTTCCGAAAACTTCATATTTAATGTTAAGATCTTTACACATATATTCCACCACCTGACTCCATTCGTTTCCTAAATTGGATTTACTCCACTCTACAACACCTCCTCGTGCATTGACATTATGTATTCTTTCAGACATCCATTTGTATAATGTCTGCATTTCCCCTGCCACAAAATTTACATCAATAGGAATAGTTTGATTTTGACGATGCTTCCAAAATTTCTGAAAAGTTTCTAATAGTTTGGGATTCTCTTCAAGATATTTCTTCCACCTTTCTTTTCGGTTTCCACGAATATTCATCATCCTTTCTTCCCAACGTTCTAGAAATCAGTTACAAATCCAAAAAAAAATGAATAAGCAAATAAAATGTCAATAGTAGAAGTAAACAATTTTTTACTAACCCAAAACACCTCTAACATGCACAGATCCTTTTATTCTCAAATAGTCCGATTCTATCCGACCCGAAGAAATAAGATTCGAGATTAATTGTTAAAAAGCAACGTTAAGCAATTCCAAGCAAAATTCACCATACGCTCTCTAAATATCTCTAAATCTTTTGCGATTATTTCTTTTCTCATAATTTTATGTTCCAGGTAACGAAACTTCTTAAACAATGCCATCTTTTCGGGAACTATGAAAGATCTAAAAACATTATTAATATCCCCTCATCTTGAGGAACATTTTTTCGATATATAAAAACATTTGCTTAATACTGAGAAAAAGCTTTTATTTGCCATAGAGAAAAGGGATTTGTTAGCTATAGGGAAAAAATCTTTTTCGGTGTATGGTAAATTGGGAATTAGAGAATACTTTTTATGTTATACAAAAACGTCAAAAGATTTTAGAGGGAATTGTTTGCGAAACTTTATTATTATTAAATTCGAGATTCTCACATGTTAATTAATATTAATTAATTGCTTTTGCTACTTTTAATTAGGCCAACCTCTCTGGTTCATCCAAAGAAGGCACTCTGCTCATACTATGTATACTTGGCCAGGCACAAACGTATTTTCATTGATGTTGAAAGTTGCATGAGATAATGTCAATCTTTGGGTTTTGTGAACAAAGGTATTTCATCATCAGGAAATTTTTTCTGATGTGGATTTGCATAATTATTGTACTGTTTATGTAAGTTTACAGTGGGCCCTATAATTTCATGCAAAAATTACATTCAGTGTAAATATTACATAATTTTTTATGCAAATATTACAACATTGCATATTAAAAACTTATGAATGTAATATTATGGTGGAAAAAATTTCCTGATGATTCTGCAGAATATTTGCTCAGTAAACTTGTTGGTGATAATAACGGATTATACAGCAGGTCATATTGGATTTATTAGATGTATATTTCAAGGAATTGATAATTATTTCTCATATAGAATCACAATATATAAAACTACTACTGATTCACAAATAATGGGATATCTAAAATCATCAGAATTTATTGAACAAATCAGATTACACTGAGGAGTTGCACCATTATACAAATTTACCAAAGAACAAGATGAGATAATTGACAGGTTGTTGCTAAAAGATGAAATACATGTGCCACCTTCAGGTCCTAATGATGTGTTGACATCATTGCTTAAAACTGAGTGATATCCTATCTGGATTATGAAGGTCCTGAGCTCAGGTTGAGAGAGGGCAGGGTTGGCAAATGTATGGTCCATTGGTGGTCTATTGGTGATCCATTGGTTCCATTAGTGTAACATTTTAGCCATATTTAGTAATTTATTAATGGCAATGGACCAGCCAATTTGTCAACCTGAGAGAGGGTAAAGTTGGGTTTATCTCACCTGTCAGCAAATTATTGTCATTCTTTCGAAGGTGTGCCTCAACAAAAGAACCATTGAAAGATGGCTTTAGTTTAGATGAGTTGATCAAGGAAGCATTGTTTAGATAAATTTTCAAAGCATTAACAAATAATCTTGATTGCTCAAAAGATGGCAAAAGGGTTACTGGAAGAGTATGGCAAATGGAACTCTATAGAGCAATCTATAGCTGCCTTCCTGATGGAATATACCTATCACCAGATGTTGGGCACATATTTTCAGTAGATGAATTTGTTGATTTTACATTACAGAGCTTCAATGGGCAATTGAATTGCTCATTGATGGGAATGACTTGAAAGGACACCATGTATACATTTATATTTTATCTAGGAGGGAGATATTCACTAATATCAATAAAATCTTAGACTTCCGAGAAACTACAAAAATACAGAAAACATATCCCAACACATGGCATATCTTGCCTACCAGCAATTTTGAAATCCCAGTTCATAAAATTTATCCTAGTCTTCTTGCAACTAAAAATTCATCAAAAATAATTAAACAAGAGTGTCAAGCATTAAAATATGTGATGTCATTTGTGGTAATAGTAATGAAAACAATGGTGTTAATAATAACAATAATAATCATGAAATGATCAGTGAAATTGAGAAGAAACAAAATCATAAAGAGATGATTGAAATTTGGGGATATTGATTAACTTTTTAAAAATCAGGAAAAATATTTAAGAGACATTGATTCAAATAATGAAGCAGATAATATCCAGAAACAGAGAAAAAGGGCAGCAAATGATCTATTGTGTATTTTATATGAGAAATTGCACAGGGATTTAAAATCAGTGGTGATTTGTCCTCAGAAGATTATTATCATAGTATCATTGATTAATGGTAATCAATAAGATAAACTATGGATTCTCTAGATCAATATCTGTATATATATTTTATTGTTTGTTGTATTATAATCATTATACTGTACATATATCAAATAGCTGATAGTAGGCAACTGATGTCACCATAGCAGTAGTAGTAGAATAAGTGATTTGTGCATCTTGATGTATGTGCACAATTAAACATGATATTCTTGAAATAGCATGAAAAAATACTCTATTATTATGAAGAATTTATTGTTAATATTAATTTTTAGCACCATTAGTAGCAATTTAGCATCATCGTATTTTAGTATTAAATTAGCATTGAATTTTCTCAAATTCCAATGTTAGGTTGTTAACATTAAATAATTATTATATTCACATTGTTTTTTCTATCAGTATTTCATTTGGAATGTGTATCAGTAAAGATACTGTTAAAAGGGATGTATGTAGACATTTTTTTATAATAATGGTATATATAATAAAAAGATATTGATTTACATTATTTAACCCAAATACCTGGATTTGCATCTATCAATGCTTTTTTAGTAAAATTCATACATGTGAGCGAAATATCTGTATTTCGAAAATAATTTCGAAAATTAGGATCTTGGAATTTCGAATTTAACCAATTAAAATTTCCAAGATTCGAAATACAATATCAAAATCAAAATTCAAAATCTAATCAAAATTCAAAATCTAAATCAAAATTCAAAATCCAATTCGAAATTCGAAATCCAATTCGAAATTCAATTGTGTCACAGATTTTCATATCTATATTTTAAATCTCATTCATTCTAAAATAAAATTCTTAAATAAAAATTAAGATATGACAAGTAATTTTGATTCTCGAGGTCTTTATTTTCCAAATTCTAAGAATGCTGGAAGACCTCCTAATATTGTTTGGACACATTTTAATAAAGGTACAGAAAGGTATCCTGGCAAGTACGATTCCACATGTATATATTGTAATGACAATGGAACAAAAGGAAGTCCACAGCTAATGCAAGAACATTTAGCAAATAGATGTCCAAATGTACCTGTTGATGTAAAACAAGTTTTTCTTGAAATTATTTTACACAAACACCAAGATGATAATTTTTTTGATGCAACAGATTCATTAACAACTTCAAATTCTTCGAACAAGAAGTTTGTCTAACAATATTCAAGATAGAAAGAAAAGAAAAAATAATAATCAAAAAGAGTTGAATAATTTTTATGATACAACAAACATCACATCTCAAAAACAAAAAATAATTGATCAAGCATTGACAAGAATGTTTGTTTGCTGTGGGTTACCTTTTTCTTTAGTAAAAACCCCTTTTTTATCGAATTTGTTAATCAATTAAAACCTGCATACAAATTACCTTCTAGATTTAAGTTGTCTAAAGATTTTATTAATGAAGAAGTAGCAAATGTGAACGTAAAAGTTGAATTGGAATTAAAACGACAAAATAACATTACTTTAGGTAAAGGAAATCATTAATATTACTTATTAATCAATTGGATTTTTTATTTTGAGAATTGTGTAATTGATATTGTTTAAATTATGATTTTCTTTTATATTTAGCAATGGATGGATGGACAGATCCAGCTGGAAGATCTATATATAACTATGTAGCATTGACTTCAAATGGCAAAGAGTATTTGTTAAAGTTAATGGATTATTCTCAATTTTCTCATACAGCTGATTTTTTGGCAAATGAAATAGAACAAACATTGGTTTTAAATAATATTGGTGTAGTCACAGATGGAGCTGGAAATGTCAGAGTGGCAAGAGAAATTATCAATAGAAAATACCCAAATATCTTAAATTTGAGATGCATCACGCATTCTATAAATTTAATAACCAAAGATATTGTTGACAAAAAGAAAAACTTTTTGTGGGGTTATAATGTTCTTCACAATTGTTCAAAAGTAATTTCATTCTTTAGTCATTCTCACCAAGGAAATCATTATTTGAAAGAAGCCATTCAAAGGTTTGAAATTTCAGGTGGTGGTTTAAAGACATATATTAAAACAAGATGGTCTTCTGCATGGGATTGTTTAAATTCTGTGAAGAGACTAGAAAATGGTCTGAAATGGGTAAATATTTTTTTGATGTGTTTTATGAACTTTTTAACTTGATATATATATAAATTTGACACTGTTTTTGTTTAAAGATTGTTTCAGAAAATCCTACAGTTATAACAAATGGAGATGTTTTAAGTTTATTACAACAACGCAATTTTTTTTCAGATGTAGAAATTTTATGTGAAGTTCTGAAGCCTATAAAAGAAGCTGTTGTTTCAATGCAAACTAATCAAAAACAAGATGGTCTTCTGCATGGGATTGTTTAAATTCTGTGAAGAGACTAGAAAATGGTCTGAAATGGGTAAATATTTTTTTGATGTGTTTTATGAACTTTTTAACTTGATATATATATAAATTTGACACTGTTTTTGTTTAAAGATTGTTTCAGAAAATCCTACAGTTATAACAAATGGAGATGTTTTAAGTTTATTACAACAACGCAATTTTTTTTCAGATGTAGAAATTTTATGTGAAGTTCTGAAGCCTATAAAAGAAGCTGTTGTTTCAATGCAAACTAATCATGCTAATTTGGCTGATTGCTTCATTCATATGTGTCATATTGGTGTTGCAATTAAAAAATTATCTTCTGAAAATAATCCAGAATTAAAAATTTATTGCTATAAAGTGTATAATAAACGATTTATTGACTTTGGAGAATATAATGGATATCTACTAGCATATTTTTTACACCCAATGTATCATGGTAAATGTTTTATAATTAATTATTATTTTGTTTAATATTGTTCTTATTTTTATTATTGAATGGAAATAGGTAGAGGACTGAAACGAGGACAATTTAGAAATATTACTACAATTGCAGCCAAACTTTGGCAAGATTTTGGTAATGGAGCAGAATCATGTTCAGAATTGCTTTGCCAATTAAGAAAATATAAATTACATGAATCACCATATGATAGTCCATATTCTAAACTTGATAATCCAATAAATTGGTGGTCTACATGTGAAGATGATTATAATCACTTACAAAGATTGGCAATCAAATTGTTTTCTGTTACTCCACACACAGCTAGTGCTGAAAGAACTTTTTCTATTTTACGATGGTTTTATGGACAAAGAAGGAGCAGGTTATCTACTACAACAATTGAAAATTTAGCTAAAATCCATTCTTATTATGTTAGTAATGCAAAAAAAGAGTTTAATTATTATGGAAAAGATATCACAGAAAGAGAAACAACTTTGAATTGCATTTTGTCCACAATGAATTTAGATGAAATAGGAACTGAAGAAGAAAATCACTTTTTAAATTCACATTATGAACAAGATGAATCAGATGATATTACTTATTTAGATAATAATGATGAAAATGAAGAGAGTGATATAGATATATTAAAAATTGAAGATATTGTAAATTTAAATGATCCAATTTTTGATACGAGTGAGAATGCTATCATTAATGAAGGAACTCAAGAAAGAAGAGTTGAAACAATGAATTATCTGGCTGAAGATATTGTCCAAGAATTTTTAGCTGAATTTGAAGACACATAATCATAATTGCTTTTGATCAATGTTTTTTAATTATTAAAATTTTAATAAAGTGATTTATTGATTTTGAATTAGACTTTGTTAGATTTTTTTATTTTGAAATTTGATTTTGATTTTGAATTAGACTTTGTTAGATTTTTTATTTAGATTTTGATTTAGATTTTGATTTTGATTTTG